ATTTGAAGTAACAATACATTTGGTTTTTTATATGGGCAATTAGCTCACAGTGTTCTCTCTTCAAGTGACACTGGAATACTTAGTTTGAGATTCTGCACATGATTTGTGTACCTCAGGATTTGAATTTGGTCGATTATCTACCATCCAGTCGATTCTGAGATTGCTACTAGTAGAGTGATACTCGTCCGGAGATCATACAGGATGCACACACGGTATTAGATTTTCTTCGCATCCAAGGACGGGTACTCCTCTACTAATTACTAGTAGCAACCTCAAATTCGACTGGAGGGTAGATAATCGACCAAATTCAAACCCCGAAGTACACAAATCATGTGCAGAATCTCAAACTAAGTATTCCAGTGTCACTTGAAGAGAGAACACTGTGAGCTAATTGCCCATATAAAAAACCAAATGTATTGTTACTTCAAATTTTGAACATCACAACTGTTTTTTCAAATCTCTCCTGAAGAAACATCTTTCTTGTAAAAAGATTTTTAAACCTTTTCGTATTGGGAAACGATGTTTCAAACTCACGTCTCTCGAAGAGTGAAAATCACAACTCTCTAACTCCTTTCGTTCGCAAGTTTGCATACAACAAATCAATTGAGTTCACTCTTTTAGTGGACTACATATGAAATGATAAAAAGTGTACTGATGCTTTTTCAGTTGTCGTATAACTATCAGCTTACGGTTCTTTAATAAATAATTTTGTTTTCCCATATGCTACATTATTTTCAATATTCAGCTGTTTGCATATAAATGTTGCACTTTCTTTATCGCTACTGTTCTTTGCTTTTGGATAGAGTTTCGATCGAACAGTATCAATTATTTTGTATCTATAAGAATTATAAATCATGTAATATATACAATTAAAAGTTAAAAAAATGACCATACCGCTGAACAAAACGTGTGTAGGGTGTTCGATGCGCAAAACCTTTATTAATAGGAAAAATAGTTTTTGTAGAGATCAAATATAAAGATTGAAGATTTCAAACCTGCTCGTCGAACACGAACATTTTCTAATAATCCGAGATATTCCACTTGATGTTCTACACGTGTTTGATCAAATAGATTCGATGATTTTTCTTCATTCGGTTTAATACATCGTACATAGAGTGGTTGCTAAAAATACCAAATTAGAGATACATTTTGACTATGAACTAGAAAACGAAAGTTCATATTTACCTTTGACGAGAGTATATCAACAAGTGCAATCATAGAATTACGAAATACAGTTCCGGCTGTTTGTGGTCGTTTTGTTACTACACCTATGTCTTGTTTACCCTCGGGAAACATTGATTTAATCACTGGATTAGTACTAGAATAATTAACAATAAATAACACAAAATTTTTTGTCTAAATGATAAGTTTACCTGTTATATAAAAGTCGTTTAAAATCTTGAAAAAGTGTATCACGATTTTTATCCAAAAATCCCTCAACATTGTAAGTAACATCACCTATACAAAAAAATATTAAATTATAAATCTAAAAATTTAATAAAAAAAAGTAAAATTTGTTCTACCTGCATAATGACGAATTAAGAAATGTTTCTGATTATTTTTCAGTAATTTATCACCGGGACTCAACTATAAAAACAACATAATATAATAAATTTGTTTTCATATCGAAAAATACGAGAAATAAATAAAATATTTACCGCCCAACTAGTGTAATGTTTATGAGTTTTTAATGATTTATTTAATGAATCAAGAAACATTTCGTCTGTAACATTTCCCACTTGATAACATGCTTCATCTAAATGAGCAATAATACCTACACGTGGTTGTTCAATTAAATCACAAATTATTTTATTATTAAAATAGTCGATCTAAAATAAACAGAAGAGAGATGAATCTAAAATTCATTTATTTTACTATACATATTTTATTATATTATTTACATGTTGCCAAGTAATGCCTTCACGTTCATATTCTTCTTGTTCTTGTTTGAGAACTAATTCAATAAATAATTGTTGTAACTGAAATATAACATTTTTATTATCAGAAATTTATATTAATACCATCAAACTTGACACACGTACTTTTTCATTACAATAATTAATACATAATTGTTCAAAACTAAACTAAGACAATATAAGATAAAATAAAATTAATTTAAGAACGAAGAAATAACAAACCTGTTATTGGTAAATATCTCAAAACCGTATATATCTAATACTCCAATGACAAGAGAACTCTTATTATGTGAATAGGAATCCAATTTTTCAGGATCAATGCTAATTGTTTGATTAATATGATCAATTAACCAAATAAACATACGTTCATATAGTGCCTAGACGAAATAAAAATGAACATAATCAAATTACACATTTTTATCTATTATAAACCCACAAGTGGTGGATAATAAAGTCTATTTAGACGGCACTATATAATACACGAGATAATAGTACGCTGATAATTAACCAATGGAAAGTTTTTTACTTGTTTATTTAACCCAATCAGCGTTTTCGATACAAGTTTTAGCAGGGGATGAAAAGTCTTTTAAGTTTCCAACGTTTTAAACCAACTGAAGACTAAAAATAAGCTTTCTTACTACCATCTATTTTGTTTCACCATCATATTTATTTTTCAAAATAGATTATCATCAACAACAGAAAGAAAACGATATTCCACTTTTTTTCATGTTATAAACAGTCGAAATGCGTATGTCTCTTTCTTTTTGCTGTTTATTCATATCTCGTATTGTTCTATCCTTTCTTTTCAATTATCTATTTAAATAATAAAGCTTATATAAAGAAAACAGTAGAAAATAAAACGAGTTACTCAGAAAAAGTCACTTACTCAACTGTATAAAAGTAAAGACAGTTTCTCAAGTTAAACTTCTTAGAAAATTTCTTGTTTTTTTGAGTAACTCTATCCAAATGAGGAGAAGATTTCCATCTTCTTTCATCCCCTAATCGAAAACGCTGAATCCAATGATGGACTTCTACTACAAATCATGCACTGTTGGCGAACGGAACTAGCAAAAAATAAATAAATAAAACACAAGCACGACACGCAATTGGAATGGGATAATTTTTCAACGTGAGCCATAGCAATATTAGCAGCATTCTCTCTCTCAATTTCAGTAATAACTAAACTCATGAATGTATTCTCCCATATCATGAATAATTGATACGATATGCAGGATAAAAATGGTCGTAATGCTAAAACTATACTAATGGTACATTTGTACAAATAAAATCCCAAATATACACAAACATTTAAAAAAAAATCAGCATGCAAAATATTTTATAGGGTCACATAACGTTTTTGCACACGCGCTTCTTACCTTTAGTTGTAAAACTCTGCTAAACATACAAATAGAACTATAGACCGATCATCTGAAGATTTTAATATACCTTTGCTAATGCATCACGTCCGTAATACGCTTTTGTTGTATTTTGATGTGCTGCAATAATTTCTTTTTGTGTAGCTACAATTCGTTTTGTTAATGTTGAACTAATATCAGATTCTTGACATGATAATAGTTTTGATAACCATGATAATTCACCATCTGTCGTTGATTTTACGCGACAATATTCACCATCTTGATCTTCAAATTGTAAATTACCCTAAAAAATATATTTTTATTGTCAAAAAGAGCATATAATCAATTTAAAATATATAGAATACATACCAAATGTATAATAGCAGCAACAATTTTCCATATTGTATCCGTTTCATCTTGTTTAAAACCAACAATTTTCATTGCCTGCATTACTTGTTGATAATCATGTTTATCATCGATTTTATTTATCTAGAAATAAAAAATAATCTGTAAGATAAATTTTTCAAGATATTTTTGTAAAACAAATTTACTTTTGAACAATTTCCCTGATTTATGTAATTATATTGTTCCGGTTTTAATTTCAAACCATATTTCGTTGTTTCACCATTGAATAATAATTGATAAAACTATAAATAAAATACATATAAAGACAAATATCTATTAAAAAATTCTTACTTACAGAATGAAAATTTCTTTCACCCTCTTGTTGTTTGACGACGCGTGATTTTTCTAGTAAATAGTGTCGAATAATACCCCCGATAGGATCAAATTTAAAATCAAAATTAATATCCATATATTTTCCAAAACGACTACTATTATCATTTCGATTCGTTTTTGCATTACCAAATGATTCTAATACGCATGTTGTTTGTATAAGAATATTTTTGATTCTAAAATTATAATGAACTAGTATCCCCATTACCATTATATTTTAGAGAAGAAAAAAAAAATCCAATTTATACATACCGTTCTATACCAGTTTGATTTGAACTATTTGTAACAGCAGCAATATAACGAAGAATAACTTTGGATGCTTCCGTTTTTCCAGATCCACTTTCGCCTAAATAAAGAAAAAATAAACAAAAACATGAATAATTTGAAAAAAGAACAGAAGTCGTACCTGATATTACGATGCAACTGTTTGTACTTCGTTGTTTGAGAGTTTTATAAGCAGCTTCTGCAATCGCAAATATATGTGGTGGACGTTCAAAAATTTCTCGACCTTTATAACTTTTCACATATTCTGCACTATAAATTGGTAATTCTCTATAAGGATTTACGGATACAATCACCTACAATGTAAAAACCGTACAACAATACTAAAATTCTTGTTATTCAATAGATGAACAGTATACTTCTCCAATATATGTATAAATTCTTCCTTTTTCAAATCTACAGGAAAAAAATTTGTTATCATTACGGTTCAATGTACAGATTTCATATAAGAATCATACCGTAATTTAAGATTTTTAATGAATTCAAACATTGATATTTGATTAAGAAGGACAAAATCGCCTAACCCGTACTCAGGTCCTTCATGTTCGATTGCAGATGACATTAAATATCTAGAAAACAAAACATTAGGCAGAGTTTATCCTATTGTGTCTAACCGGCTCAAAACTGATCGAAAAGGGCACAACATAGGCCGGTTACCACTATCTAGTTGACTTCATGGCTTAACCTTTCTTATAAGATTGAGACTCTATGAGTAAGAGGTTAATAAAGACAAAATGGTAAAACTCACGATTGCAATATGAATAAAAAAAGAATAAAAAACAAAAAAAGAAAAATTCGATTATCGTTTTATATTTTATATTTTAGTGTTACGTGTGCATCTTTGTTCTTGTTCTTTTTGCATCTATAAACTTCAACAGATGTGATTTTAACAAGAAAAGATGAAAAATGTCGGGATCGTGATGATAAGAAGAAAAAGAAGAGAAAAATATTAGTAATTGAACAGTCTATTAAAAAAAAGAAGGGAAAAAAAAAGACAAAGGTACAACAACGCATTAATCAATTTTAATACTCAGTTTTTGTATTACAGTTTATTTAGAAAGAGAGAGTTCATACAACAAAACCTTATATGTCAAATGTTCCAGTTTCTAAATTAAAAGTTTTCTGAATCTGTTTTTTATTTCGTATTATTACAATGGTGGCATTCATTCTTTCTCAAGATTTGAGGCAATTAGGTTTCCTTCACTGAAATCAAGAGAAAACAAACGTATAAGAAAACTGAATACTTATATTTCATGTTACAAGTGTTCTTCTTCGGATATGAATGAAGTTCCTTCTGAAGTTTTCAATGACTATCAACAAACTAGTTGAAAAATCTCACCATTACAATAATTCGCCTATGTACTACATTAACAAGTGAAGTTTCCCTTATTTTCTTTCAATTCAAACCTAACATCCAATCAGTTTGCCTAAAAAATGCCGTAGAATGGACACCACCGTATTATAATTAAAAAAATGCGTACGTTCTATAGCAAAAACATTATGTTGAACACATCACCCTATGCTAGTATCGATCACCTAAACGTTCTCACAAAATGCAGAGAAGCCTCAAAGTGCCAAAGACAAAGGGAAGGAGAGATTTGTTAAAAATTCAAAATAAACCTGGAAGAACTTTTTTCTTCTTTTTTTCAGCTCTCTAATTTTCCACAAAAATGGGAGTAAATACTTCGAAATGAGAGTCAAGTATAGGGTTGCCACCTCTAAACGTCCAAAAAGCGGAAGGCAAATCTTTTTAGTGCCATAACAATTCTTTGTCAACATATATATTTAACATATCCATGTTACAGTAGAAATAAATCTATTTATTTTCAACAATATCAGCAAAAGACTTAAACTATTGAATATGTTGTTTTCTGAACTGATACTTCTTGACCGAGTGTATTGAGAATGATAAATCTTTTTATGATAAAAGATGTTTATTCATGTCTGTACAAGGCAATGAACTATTCAGACATATTTTTTTAGCTCTATTGAAACTAATTCTGTCGACACATGATTACGACTATCATTGAAAAAATGTTTCATTTGAGAAAAAACATTCTCCACATACGCATTGCCACAACGAGTCGAATAAAAAACAATTACTTTGTACATGTTTGGTAATGATTTTAGATTTAAATGGAGTAACATAACCTAGACTGAATGAAGTACTTTTCTTCTTCTTTCTCTCCCTGTCCTCCTCCTCTTCTTCTTCATCATCATTATCATTCTTCTCTTTCTTTTTCTCTTTCCTATTACATCTTTCCTATTACATCTTTCCCACTTTTGCTTGCAATAAATGAATTAACTTGATCATATCAGGGCAACTTATTAGGATGAGTCATTGTTAAGGTATTGTATTAAAAGCAATAGTAGCTGTTCAATCTTGAATTTAAAAAAAACTTGAAAAAGCGGAAAGCGGATAGAATGGCCAAAGAGGAATGAATACTTCCAATTTCGGAAGAAACACTAAAAAGCAGAAGAACTATTTTGACATTTTCAAGGACTTGTAGACAAAAGAGGTTGTCATTTTAAACAAACAGAAGAATATATTATTTTATTTCGAATTTCAATGTGAATAATTTGTACAAAACAAAAACATTTAATGTTATCTGACTAATTTTATAGAGAAAAAATTCGTACAATATTAAAGTGAATAAATAATGAGTGAAATTAATGTCAATCCCATCAATATTTTTCAAATTGTTCAATTTCCATCATTTGTTTTAGATAATCAGTTGTTTTTTGCCATCGTTTATAATCATTAGTATAATAAAATTTCCATTCATCTCTTATTTTCTTCCAATGTTTTAGATTAATCGTACGTAATGTGTCTATATCACAAATTTCAGCCGTTTTTTGCTGCTCTATTTCGAATTGACGTGTCTCAGTTTTCAAACGTTCAATGAGTTGAGTAATTGTTTCACTTGTAAGTGATTCTGCTTCTGGCATTTGAATATTCATGTCTGTTGTTATTGAATTTGATGATAACACACAATGTTGAAATTTAATTCCATCATTCTTCTGTAGCCAAGTACGTACAATTGAATAGAGACTTTTTGTTGTATTAACAGAAATATTTTCATCATCATCAATAGAATCACCTTGTTCGAAAGGAAAACAACGTTTTCTCGAAACACTTTCTTCTGTTAACGAGACCATTATTATTAATTCTCAAAAAAAAGAAGAAAAATCCTATAATAATATTTTTCGAAATAAAAAAAACAAAACATGATGAACTATATGAAGGGTGTCGTTTATGCAAATAGTTATTTTTTCTCCTTGAAGCATTAGACAGTTTTCACACTCGAAGAAATCATTACATTTCCTTTCATTAAACAAAAATATTCCTTATATGACTTAAACTCATGTAAAACTGAAGAATATAAGAATATAAATTTAATACATTAACGTATTAATAGATGTTATACTACAGATGAATCGTACGTTTTCAAAATTTGAGGATATACTTAAACCTGCTGGAAATAGCGAATTCATTCATTAATAAATATATGAGAATTAAAATAAGAAAAGCAAATCACATGAATATTCTGAGATAGTAAAAAAACAAAGTGAACCGGGATGTATCATGGAAAGTATTTAATGATAATGTTTTGATATCAAAGAATAAGTCTGGCGTGGTACTTGGCGAAAATTCATTGTAATGTTCTTTTAAATATGTCATATTAAATTAGCATCTTTCACTCATCTTTAAAACACTTCATAAAATTCTCTCAATATTTAGATTTTAATCATTTTTCTATTGATCAAATTCAACCATCTTATTATTCATAAACATAAATAACAGAACAGAATTCTGGATTTATTGCACTTTATAGGACTATTTGAGTTGCTTGTTTACAGTGTTACAGTGTGCATGCCAAGCAGAAGAAAAAAAAAAAAAAGAAGTCAATATGTTAACAGATATGTTTACGTGTAACACAATAAAAATAAAATTTTTCTGAATAATTTATAAAATATGTAAATAACAGGAAGTAAAAGTAGAAAAATATCTCACATATTTCATCATATTTTTATCTTGCCATCACGTACGTTCTCAGACTAACAACAAAAAAGAATCCAAGTTAAAAAATATATGAAAGAAACTGGTATGAGTAAAAGTAAAAAGACATTTGATTATACACAAAAGGCGAATAGATTTGTTTTTTTGATCAAAAAATAATTAATTACAAGAATAAACGAACAACAAAGTCGAAAATAAACAAAGATAAACATACTGTAGAAAAAGAAAACTCACTCACAACAATATGAGGCGTTTTATTACTAAAAATGAAAACAAATAATTAATGGAACTGACTCACATTCTTTATCAGGTAATTGATGTTGCTATTGCCGATGTAGTAGATGCATATTTTTCGTAAACACGCTCGATTATTGCTTGTACCTCACCCAGATATGGTCTGTTTGTCGGATTATGATCCCAACAACGTGTCATCACTAAAAATTAAACAAAATCTATTAAAATACAAACAAAATTTCTTTTTTTAATATAAACACTTACATTGCCAACAATCCTCATCAAAATTCATTAATCGTTCAGGTCGACAACCTTAGGTAAATATAATAAATAGATAGAAAAAATACACATGTACGATACTATTGTACCTTTCTTTACTGCAGTCCATAAGATATCTTTACTTCCACAAACATCAAAATTTGTTGGCAATTTAACATTATTTGAACAAATGTACTAAAATGAAATAATTAATTATATAAGATAAAGTTTCAACAATAAAAGCTCAAACTTACCCATAATAATATTCCAAAGGCATAAATGTCTACTGTATGATCATATTTAGATGTAAATAATTCTGGTGCCATGTGAATAGGAGTGCCTACGAGTGATCCGCTCATCATAACTTCAGGTTTGCAAAATCCAAGATCAGTCAATCGGGCACGATTTGTTTCATCTAACTAAAAAAATGAAATATAAAATGACAAAAAGAAAAGAAAAAAATCTTTAAAACAAAAAAAGCATACCAGAACATTTTTTAATTTAATATCTCGATGAACTAAACCTAAGCCATGCAAATATCTTAAACCTTCAACAACATCAAGTGCTATTCGCATTCTGGTCAAAAAAACAATGCCACTTTTCAATGCTGAGTATAAATCTTTTTTTAAACGTTCGAGAACAAGTAGAACAGCCGATTGATCTCGATCTGTATCTACAACTGATCCAATTAAACGTGCAATACGTGGATGATCTGGAATACGTCTTAAATAATGAAATTCAAGCGCTAAATCATTCCAATGTTTATCATCCGGTGGTACAACTGATTTTACAACACACGATCGTTCATATGCCCAATTTTCACATGCATAAACAACTCCATACTGACCTCGACCAATTTCTCGTCCGTGTTTTGGCATGCCTAAATAATAAGATACAAACATCGAAACATAAGTGTAATGGGTAACTCATATTTAATTGATCATTTTATATTTTGATTATAATTTTCTTTCGCTATATCTTCAAGAACTCATCTTTTGACAAAAGACGCAACATGAAATTGTCTGTAAAAAATGTACTGAGTATTTGACTATAAAATGTAAACATAGAAAAAAGTAAAGTGCTAAGATGCTCTAAAAGTCTCAGCTATGTTCCTAATGTAAAACTATTATAAAAAAAATGATATGAATTTTGGTAAGTCAAAAATAGAAAAAGAAAATGTCATGACTTTATATGTACAAACGTTTTGTGGACTCTCTTAAGTGAAAAAAGTCACTTGTTTTCTATTCATGTTAGCCATTGGCGTGACAACAAGCAGACACCCGTTTTCAATATATATTGAAGAATTAAGAGAGAAAAAAAATGAATCAGGAGGAGTCATCGTTAGTATAACGATAAATATTATAAGATTTACAATCGTTGGATGCTGTGCTCTTATTACTCATTATGATGTAACAAAATGCTATTTGAATGTTGTACAGTTAACTCGTCTACACTTGGTAATAAGATACGTTGTACACTTTTTATCGAGCACTTCAAGATCCATCTTTTAACATGAAAAATAGATCTTAAAGAGATATAAAAGAAAAACTTCAGAATATAAAATAATCATTTTAAACATGGATCTCTGTTATGTTGACAATCATTTTTTTACCATATTGAATAAGATCTTTTAACGATGTACTTTCTAATTCAAGACGTGCTATTTTTGGCGTTAATTCTTTTCTCACACGTTGTTGTTTCTCTTCTGTACGTAATAATCTACCACTATGACGACTTTCTAATTGTTTTAATAATTGTTCAAAATTATCATGTGACATTCTTATTCTGTCGTTCAATTGTGTACATACAGATTTTGCCAATCTATAAAT